TTTTACTAAGAAACAGTGTTGGAGAGACAAGCTGATGCTAGGATAACTTAAGAAGCTCTGTTGCATTATAAGATTTATTTAGTATAATAAGCATTTTACCAATGGATTTAGGCAAAATTAAAAAAAAAATCTGTTGCTGAAATACGTCAAAACTAAAATAAAAAAAAAGAGTAGTCTTTTAACTCCTCTTCTATAAACTTTAAATATCAGTAAAGTCAAAGAAAGTGAGAGAAAAACTGAATTTGCATATTTTGCTAATATATCTTTCATATTCTGATGTAGGTAATGTTGCCAACAGCAAATGTATCACAGCATTGTTGGCTGTTCAATGAGACGCAGACTTTTTTACACAAACAGAATAAATATATAAGAATGAATATATCTGTGAGGAGTAGCTGGGACAGTTAAACAGGAAGAGAGCTCATCTACACTAGGAATAGTAACCAAATGTAAACATAGTGCATTTAAATTCTTTATTTAGGTTTATGACAGATGTGTGTTGGACATTTATTAAAAATACTAGACAAATCACACCCCTCGTTAGTTCAATAGAGGACGCAAAAATCAACCGCCAAATAACGGACGATTAAATTTTTGACAGGACGGTTAGCCTTAGCGTAAAGATGCCTTGCTATCATTATTGCTTTCACCTGATCGGTAACCATGTCGATATTTCTATGGTTCTAGCGGCCAGTCAGCTGCCTGTTGCTGCTGTGAACTCTGCTGTGAACTCTTAAATGGGTGCTTTGACTGAAGCATTTTCCACAGGTTTGACATGAGAAAGGCTTCTCTCCTGTGTGGGTTCTGCTGTGATCCGTCAGATGGCCTCGGACTACAAAGCTTTTCCCACAGGTCTGACAGGTAAAAGGCTTCTCCCCCGTGTGGATTCTCAAGTGAACATTCAATGTGCCTTTAGCGCTAAAGCTTTTCCCACAGATGGAACAGGTGAAGACCTTCTCACCTGTGTGAGTATTCATGTGGTCAGGCAGGTCCCTGCTGCTGAGGAAACCCTTGGTGCAGATCTGTCCCTGACACAGACTCTTATCTGAGTGGATCTTCAGGTGGACTCTCAAAAAGCCTCTTTGAGGGAAATATTTTCCACAGATGGGACATGAGAAAGACCTTTCAGATGTAGGAGTTTGCATGTGAGCAAGAAAGAACGTTTGATCTCTGCTTTCTAGACCTCTTTGTGTTTGGGGTCCCTCTTCCTCTGTAATCAGTCCAAAATCTTCATCATTCCTTCCTTCCCAGAACCGGTTCCCATCTGTAGGAATGTCCTGAGAGAGGATCTGCTCTCTGTCTGATTCTGGTTGTTCCTTATAAACAGTATTGATAAAGGAGGTATGGATGTCCTGCTTCTGGGGAAGAGCCTGTCCATCCTGACTGTTGCAGAGTTCGCTGGGTTTCTCTTTTACAAGCAAAGCTTCAGATGCTTCTGGTTCTTTGACCTCCTTCTTTATCTGCAGATGTTCTTCGGTTTGCTGCTGATCCCAGCTAGAGCTTCTCTCCTGGCTGCAGGGTTGCAGCTCAGCAGGAGGATCTTCCTCCTTACACACAGAATGAGGGGGATAAGTTGAATCTGCAAAGGAAAACAGATCATGGTCACCATGGGGAGGAAACCTGATTGATTATCTAAAGGTATGAAGATAAGAAAGACAAGACCTACTCAGTAACATCCTGCAAAACCATCTGCAGGAGCAAAGAGGGAAAAACAAAGCCTGTGTCTGACCTAAAAACCTATATATTTAACCTCAAGGGGTTTACTCTCCACTGCCTCAAGGTTCTAACATAACAGTCATGTTTTTGTACTGTGGGAGGAAGCCGGAGTACCCGAAGAGAACTCACGCATGCTCAGGGAGAACATGCAAACTCCATTCAGAAAGACCCCAGGCCGGGAATCACTTCTTGCTGCAAGGCAACAGTGCTACAAACTGCGACACCATGCAACCCAGCACAGGGCTCCAATAATTTTAATATCTGTGCAGTGAGTGAAAAACACATCTGATGTCTGCAATGACGGTTCTATTGCAGAAGCTCCTCAAACATAAAATCAGCACACAGAACAGAAGGGAGAAGTTTAACATCCACTCCTTGCCTACTTTGTGCCTCTCTAAGTGAGGATCAGTGACAGACAGAGAGGACTGGAACTCCTTTTTTTTTTACAGCCTTCAAAGGACCCAGTCTAGGGATTAGGTCTACCATTGCTTTCACCTTTCAGGCTCTCCCTAGTTCTTCCCTGAGCTCTTGGTATTTTTCCAATTTCTCATGTTTTTTTTCCCTGATGTCTGCATCATTTGGGATTGGCCACATCAATCACTATGGCTTTATTCTGTTGGTATCTGGAAGACCCACAGGATCTTTCCTCTGTTGTTCTTCACCACCTTCGGAGGTGGCTACAATCTTAACATAGGGGTCATCAGTTTGTATTCTGAACAGATGTTTCTGTAGACTATAACAGCCATTTGGTTATAACGCTCCATGTATTCCTTTCCTGACAGTATCTTCTTAATTTGACAAGCAAGTAAGTGCACATAACTGGGTGAAAGGAGACGAGAATGTACCGTTTAAAAATACTGCTGGGTATATAGAAATTTAACTTTACATCTTTGTACTCTCAATATCTTTAAGGGTGTGCCTCATTGTCTCATCTAGTAGAATAGTTTTAAACAGGTTTTGAGGGAGGGGTTATATTTACATGACCTAAAGCTATTATGGAAACACTGTACTTTTGCTCATTTCGAAATTCCTAAATAAAATATGAGAAGGCTTAAAATGGAAGAAGAAAAATTAGCGTGCCACAGTCCAGCCTAGTAGAGCAATTTAACACAAATTTTGGGTCAGTGGTTAACGTAACATTGAGGAAAAAATATAAATTTTGACCAAAAAAAGTCTTTAAAAAAATATATATATATAAAAAAAAAAAGACTTAGAATTAAATTAAAATGGGTGTGCCTCATTCTTATAATCTAGTAGCAGTATTTATCATTGGATTTATTTAAGACAAGGGACATATTTATTTTTATTTCTCAAGTGTGGTTTGGAAACTTGTTGACGGTCCCTAACAGAACCACTGCCGGTGAGAAGAGGAAGCAACAAAGAGCGGCTGGCTGAAGTCTGAGCTTCTGCATTGGATCTACTGTGAGATCAGTGCCACT